TCTTCTTTTTCATTTGCCAGATAAACATTTTCAATGGAGATGATGAAATCAGCGCAGACAAGGCTGCTTTCACTTAAAAACAGGAATGAAAAGCATGCCTTGTAACTAGTGAATTGGCAAACAGAGTCAAAGAGCTTTAAAATATGTCAAGATTTAAAGTCTAGGATTTGTAAGACTTACTTTTAAACGTATTTAAATTTGAAATTACTGTAGGAAAAACCTTGATCCACCTCCCTTTAATCAATATCAAGAAATGTGAACTTTTGCCCTGTTTCACCTCACAAAAAAATTCTACACATGACCCTTACTAAATGACTAGAATCATATGAAATTATTTCATATTTTAATGAATCACTCTGAATAGCTATATCTCTAAATAATGTATAAGAATCAGTTTGAAGTTTATTCAAAACAGAATTCAGTTGACCAAATAACACTACTGCTGTTTTTTTTTTCTGGTGTATTTACTAAAAATGAATAGTTTAGGACTAGTTTAAAAATTAAAAATAGGAAGGATTATTTTTAAAAAAGATTTATTTATTCATTCAAAATACACAGTGTCAGAAAGAGAAGGAGAGAAGCAGAGACAGAAAGAGATCTGCCATCCAGTCGTTTACTCTCCAAACGGCTGCAACAGCCATGGCTAGGCCAGGCAGACGTCAGGAGCCTGGAATTACATTCTGGCTTTCCATGTGGGTGGCAGAGCATCTTCTGTTACTTTCTCAGGCATATTAATAGGGAGCTGGATCAGAAGCAAAGAAGCCAGGCCTCCAATCTATACTCTAATAGATGTAGGCACCACAGGTGATAGCTTAAATCTCTGTGCCACTATACCAGCCCAAGAGAAGAATTTTTAGTGTATTTAAAGAACTCAGTTCTTTTACATATCCTAAGTTGCTAGCTGTTCTTTAGCTGTATAGTGTTTTGTGTTTGAAATAATTTAAATCTTCTAGTTAATTAAAAATATATAAGTACATACTTACATAATGTATATCTTTAAATAATCACTCATGATTTATGAGTCACAGATTAAAACATGCATACCAAAAACATTAATTATATTGGTGATATCATATAATGTTAGAGTTATCAATGATGGAGAAAAAAGTCTGAAATGGCTAATTAGAATCTGAGGCTCAGGTTGGTGTTTGGCTTAGTGGTTAAGACATCCACATCCCTTATTGAAGTGCCTGGGTTCTAGTCCCCATTCCTCATCTGATCCATCATCCTGGTATGTGCACCCTTGGAGACAATGGGTGATAACTTAAGTACTTGAGTCCCTGCCACCATATGATAGATCAGGGTGCAGTTCTGGGCTCCTGGATTCAAGCCCCGGCTGTTGCAGGCATTTGGAGAGTGAATCCATCAGATAGAAAGTCTCTCTCTCTCTCTCTCTCATTTCTCTCTCTCTCCCTCTCTCTCTCATTCTCTCTCTTTCTTTCGAATAAAACAAATACATAAATAAAACTTAAAAAAAATAGAGCTTTAGACAAATTCATCATTCCAGTGATGAAATGGGAAAGACCTAAGTTGAGATTAGAAGATAGGCTTTATTATTTACTTGTTTATCCCATAGACATTTATTTATGTCTGCTATATACCAAACACTTCTCACGACTTAAAGAAATGAAGATGAAAGAGTTCCAAGACCCTTGCTCAATATAGTAGTGCTTCCTGGTATCCCTGTTTCAACCCTTCACCTTCTTGATAAAAACATTAAAACCTATTAGAGAATGAGAAGAAAAACATAGAGATTCCTTTGGCAAAAGGAGATTCCTTTGGCAAAATTATTGAGAAATAGAACCAAAAGATAAATAGAGGAAATAAGTAGAGATTACACATAGAAGATGCAATTAAAAATAATATGAGCTCTAGAAGCGTGGCACAGAGAAACCATGGAGTAAGAATCATAAACATGATCATCTGAAGACAAAGGTGTGAAGGACTCTAAAATAAAAGTCCTATCACTCATCTTACACAATGAATTGAAAAAAGTATTTCATCATGAAGTTAAGGATACATAGCGCAAATCTGATTGTAATTGTTCCCCAAGAGAGAAAGAAATAATAATAAAAATATATGAGATACTGTGATGTATCTGAATTGCATCAGAATTCCCAACAGCAATGCTGGAAGCTAGATTGCTGGATTAATATAGTATGTTCAGTATTATTCAAGAAAATGACATACAACCTATTTAATTTTATGCGTACTCAAACTATTAATCAAGCAAGTTGAAATAACTAATGATATTGGAGATACACATACTCCATCTAAAAATATGCTTCCTGCATACTTCTGTCTCTGAAGCAACTTTTGTGTGTGTTCCACAAACATGAGCAGCAAACTAAAAATGAAGAAAATGTAGGGAATAAGAAATTAAAACCAGGAAAGAGGCAAAGGGAATTTGTAGATGATATTGTAGGCCCAGAGGAGCATGACTGCTGTGCCCTAAGATAGAGACCCAGCCAAGATGTCAACATGTTTATGAAAGCAGATTCTCACAATGTAGAATCTTACAACATGCCTTCCTTTCCCCAGAATTAGCACATCAGCACAGTGAAAGCCAAGGGGTTTCACTTTTTTTGATATTGCTTACATTTTTTGGGGTGTACACTTTATATGTTTTCATTAATGAAGAATTGAAGTGTGCCTGTGAGCTTTGTTTGAAGATGTTAGTAAACGAGAGAGAAAGTAAGTATCCAAAGGGAGATAATTGCTGTTCTTGATAAGTCTGATGAAGAAAAACAATAAAGAGATTGCACATAAAATTTAAGTTCTTTAACATATGATGTGCTTTGTGTAAGCAGAGCACTCCAGCTAATGTTAGTAATGAACTGCTTAGCACAACATATGCATGGAGTCTGATTCCAGAAACTTACTGGGAAAAGCACATGTATTGTCAAACTCAGAGCGTTCTTAAACTATAGTGGTGGTGTGAATATCAATTGTATATTTAGTGTGAAGGTATCAACACAAAAATATGCAAAATAATTATAGCTATGATAATCTGTTAAGGGACACAAACAGTAAAAGTTACAAAATGTGATAGCGAAAGTAAATTGGAGGTGGGCATTTGACCTAGTGATTAAGATGTGTGAGTTCCTCATTGGATGTTCAAGTCCTGGTTGAGCTCCCAAATCCAGCTTCCTGCTAATGCACTCCTTGATATATAGCAGGTAATTGTTTTCCTGCCACTAACCTCAGAAAACTGAAATTCCACCTCCCAGTTTCAACCTAGGTTCAGTTCAGCAGGCATTTGTTTAGTAAGCTGGCAGATGACACTTCTCTCTCTGTGCCTCACAAATAAAATGTTATTTTTTAAAAAAATTAGAAAGACAAATTTTGGTAGTGAAGGAAGCAACAATGTAGAGCTTGTGCAGGGGATCTCTTTTACTAAGGAGAGAAGATCCAACCAATGTTGCCTTCTCTCTTTTAACTGTCATTTGAACAAGAGATTTCATATTCCTGCAGCTCAGAATGCAGAAAATCCCCACCGATCTTTGATTATAAAAGGAAGCATCATCCACATGACATATACAAAAAAAAATGGAAATAAAATACATCATTCTCCCATCCCCAGAAATTCAGTATTGTTTAACATCTCTCAGATGTTCAGAATCTCATCCACTCAACCAAGATTCTTCAGAAACAATGGTGTTAGTTCTTGCCTAGTCCAGCATGCCCAAACCTTAAAATTTCTTGAAACAGAAACCACATTTGGGCCTTACTTATTTGTCACAAATAAATGCATTTAGAAGGTGAGTCCTAACCATACTTACAGGTAATAAATCACACACACACACACACACACACACACAGAGAAATCTTAATCAGATTATGTGGGAGGAATTAAGAAAGTAAAGGCACAACTAAAATTATTTAAAATTCTGGAATAATTTATGCACATATTAGCCAGATACGTAAGACTTTTTAAGGGAATGAGGTATATTTAATCATCACAGGAAACACAAAACTCTGCTCATGGTTTTCATTTTTGAAAGTATTTGTATTTTTGTCAGAAATTAATACAAAACCTAACATATTTTCATTTCACTTATACTAAGTTGAAATGTTGTCTCTTTTTAAAATATTTATTTATTTATTTGAGAAGCAGAGAGACAGAGAAAGATAACAGGCAAGCAGACAGAGCTCCTATCTAGTTGCTCACTCCCCAGATCCCCAAGAAGGCAGGAACCTAATCTAGATCTCACACATGACTGTAACAACCCTACTTGAGTCATCAACAATGCCTCCTAGAGTCTATGTAAGTAGGAACTTGGAGCACAGCACAGAAACCAGATAGTCTGGAAAGTGATCTGATTGTCATCATTGGAATTTTGTAAGCTAGGCTGAATGGCCACTCTAGATTGCTTCATTTTAGCTAAAGAAAACCAGATTAAATCTAAGAAGACATAATTAAACTTAATCTTATTTATCAAAAAATACAGCCATGACTTGAGGTTCATCTATTTATCTTGCTGTTTATCTTGAGATGAATCTATAGCTTTAAGTTAATTTATTCATCATTCTACAACATTATGATATTGAAGCTACACATATTTTTGAAAAGATCCCTATGAAATTAAGTCTTCATTTATAACTACATCATATATAAAATTTAGTTTTGTACCATATTAGAGTAGACATTAAATGTGCACTTTGGGAGCATATATACTATTTTTTTAAAAGATTTATTTATTTTTTAAAGATTTATTTATTTATTTGAAAGATAGAGTTACAGAGAGAGATAGAGACAGAGATTTTCCATCCACTAGTTCACTCCTCAGATGGCTGTAACTGCTGGAGCTGAGCTGATCCAAAGCCGTGAGCCAGGAGCTTCTTCAGGGTCTCCCAAATGGGTGCAGGGGCCTAAGGACTGGGACCATCTTCTGCTGCTTTCCCAGGCCATAGAAGAGAGCTGGTTCAGAAGAGGAACAGCCGGTACTAGAACTGGCGCCCATATGGGATGCCGGCACTGCAACCAGTGGCTTTACCACTGCACCACAGCGCTGGCCCCTAAAATTGAAATACTATGGACAAGATTAACATGATCCTTGTACAAGGTTGGCATGTGTATTTTTGAAACTTTGAATATTTTTACTTAAGAACTAATAAAGGGATTGATGTTGGGGTGCAGCTAGTTAAGCTGCTCCTTGGGACACTACATCTCATATTGAGCCTTGGCTACTCCCACACTTTTGAATCAGCTCCCTGACAATGCTCTAAGAGACAACAGATAATGGTCCAAACACTTGGGTGCCTGCCTCCCATGAAGGAGACCCTGATGGAATTCCTAGTTCCTTGATTGAGCCTAGCCTATCCCTGACGATGACTGGAATTTGGGAAGTGAAGCAGCAGATGAAAAGTCTCTCTTTGTCCCTCTCCTTTGCCATATTTCTCTCTCTCTCTCCTTTGTCACTATATCTTTCAAATAAATAAATGAGCAAATGAATAAATAAATCTTTCTAAAAATAAAACTAAGTGAATTTATTACCAATAGGTCAGTCTTACAAGAACAATCAAATATTCCTTTGGATATAATGTAAGGACACCATGTTAGCTTGAATTCATATGAACTAAAAAAGAGCACCAACAAAGGTAACTACATAAGTATTTTTTTGTAAAGTATAAGTATTTTTGTTTATACTATTTTTATTCCTTCTGATTTAAAAGATAAATAAAAGAATCATTATAATCTATGTTTATGTGCATCTGATGAAGAAAGCTGTAATTTCTTTAAGAGATTGCTAGATTTTAATGTTTTAGTAAGGGAATAGAAATGCTTGAATATACTGATATTTTTTCCACTGATATACATTATATTTTTTTGTACTCTATTAGTTTCCACAGATCAAGGAAAACATAGTATTTGTCTTTTTGGGAATGGCTTATTTCACTAAGTATAATGGATTCCAGTTGCATCCATTTTGTTGTGAAAGAATTTCACTATTTTTATAGCTGAGTAGTATTCTATAGTGTATATGTGACACAGTTTCCTTATTCAGTCATAGGTTGATGGATATCTGGCTGATTCCACATTAGCTATTGTGAATTAGGCTGCAATAAACATGGGAATACAGATAACTCTTTATATGTCAATTTTCATTTTGTTTGGATGGAATGCCTGGTCAAATGACTGATCTGTTTTCAGCTTTCTGAGGTATCTCTATACTATCTTCCACAATGGCTATACTAATTTGCATTCTCATTAACAGTGGACTAGGGTACATTTTTCCCCGCATTGTCACCAGCATTTATTTGTTGATTTCTGTATGATAGCCTTTTTAACTGGGGTGAGGTGATAGCATGTTGTGGTTTTTATTTGCATTTCCCTGATGGCTAGGGATCCTGAGCATTTGTTCATGTGTCTGTTGGCCATTTGAATCACTCTTTTGAAAATACCTATTCAAGTCCTTGGGCCATTTCTTAACTGGCTTGTTTCTTTTTGTTGTTTTTGACTTTCTTGAGTTCTTTATAGATCTAGGATACTAATCCTTTATGAGCTGCATAGTTTGCAAATATTTTCTCCCATTCTGTTGGTTGCCTCATTTTACTGAGTATTTCCTTTGTAGTGTAGACACTTCTTAGCTTGATGTAATCTATTTTGCTTTGATTATCTGTGCTTCTGGGGTCTTTTTGAAGAAATTTTTGCCTATGTTAATGTCTTGTAGAATTTCCCCAATGTTTTCTTCCAGTAATTTGATGATATCAGGTCCTCAATTTAGCCCTTTATTAATTTGAGTTTTTTTTATAAGCTGTAACATAGGTGCCTTGTTTCATACTTCTGCATACAGAATTCTCAATTTTTTAAAGAGACTGTCCTTTTTTTAAATTTTTATTTAAAAAATATAAATTTCAAAAGTACAACTGTCGAATTCCCTCCTATAACCTTCCCCCCACCCGCAACCATCCCATCTCCCACTTTCTCTCCCATCCGATTCTTTATCACCATCATTTTCAATGATCTTTATATACAGAAGATCAACTTAGTATATACTAAGTAAAGATTTCAACAGACTGCACCCACAAAGACACACAAAGTATAGAGTACTGTTTGGGTAGTATTTTTACCATTAATTAGCATAGTACAACACAGTAAGGACAGAGGTCCTACATGGGGAGCATGTGCACAAGTGACTCCTGTTGTTGATTTAACAATTGACATTCTTATTTATGATGTCAGTAATCACCCAAGGCTCTCGTCATGAGCTGCCAAGCTAAGGAAGCCTCTTGAGTTCACCAACTCCAATCTTATTTAGACAAGGTCATAGTCAAAATGGAAGTTCTCTCCTCCCTTTGGATAAAAGTACTGCCTTCTTTTTTTTTAATATTTATTTATTTATTTATTTATTTATTTTGACAGGCAGAGTGGACAGTGAGGGAAGGAGACAAAGAGAAAGGTCTTCCTTTTGCTGTTGGTTCACCCTCCAATGGCTGCCACGGCCGGCGCACCATGCTATCCGATGGCAGGAGCCAGGTACTTATCCTGGTCTCCCATGGGGTGCGGGGCCCAAGGACTTGGGCCATCCTCCACTGCACTCCCTGGCCACAGCAGAGAGCTGGTCTGGAAGAGGGGCAACTGGGACAGAATCCGGCACCCCGACCGGACTAGAACCCGGTGTGCTGGTGCCGCAAAGTGGAGGATTAGCCTAGTGAGCCGCGGCACTGGCCAGTACTGCCTTCTTTGATGGCCTGTTTTTCCCACTGGAATCTCACTCACAGAGATCTTTCATTTAGGTTTTTTTTTTTTTTTTTTGCCACGGTGTATTGGCTTTCCATGCCTTCAAAACTCTCATGGGCTTTTTAGCCAGTTCTGCATGCCTTAAGGGCTGATTCTGAGGCCAGAGTGCTGTTTCGGACATCTGCCATTCTATGAGTCTGCTGTGTATCCTGCTTCCCATGTAGGATCATTCTCTCCTTTTTAATTCTATCAATTATTATTTGCAGGCACTGGTCTTATTTATGTAATTCCTTTGACACTTAACTCTTTAATTAACACACAATTATTCTTAGTCATTTAAATTTAACTGAAAAGTGATCCCTGTTAAATGTAAAAGTGGGAATAAGAGAAGGAAGAGATGTACAGTTTGGCACATGCTCACTCTGACTTACCCCTAATGGTAGAGCTAGAAATGTGCCAGGGGATTCTAATTCAATCCTGGCCGGCGCCGCAGATCACTAGGCTAATCTTCCGCCTGTGGTGCTGGCATCCTGGGGTTCTAGTCTCGATTGGGTCCCGGTTCTGTCCCTGTTGCTCCTCTTCCAGTCCAGCTCTCTGCTGTGGCAATCCCATCAAGGTGGCATGTACCAATGTCATCTTACTTGTTAAAGTGATCAGTTTAAGTTCATAATTGATAAAAAAGATAGGATTAAGTGTCAAAGAGACTGTCCTTTCTCCAGGGTTTTATTTTAGTGCCTTTGTCAATAATTTGTTCTAGATAAATGGATTAATTTCTGGAGTTTGTGTTATATTAAATTGGCCTACATATCTATTTTGTTCCAGTACTAGGCTGTTTTTATTATAACTGCCCTGTGGAATATTTTGAAATCTGGTATTGCAATGCTTCCTGATTTGTTTTGTTATTTAAGATCACTTTAGCTATTTAGGGTCTCATGTTTCTGTATGAGTTTTGGCATTTTTTTTTCTAGATCTTAGAAGAATGTCATTGGTATTTTGATCAGGATTGCATTGAATCTGTAAATTCCTTTGGTAGTATGTAATTTTGATGATATTAATTCCTTTCATCCATGAATATGGAAATTTTTCCATTTTTTGTGTCTTCTTCTATGTCTTTATTTTTTATTTATTTCTATGTATTTATTTAATGTTTTCAAAATTTCCCCACTCATTATGATGCTCAGTGTGGGTGTGCCATATATTGCCTTGATTGTGTTGAGGAATGTTCCTTTGATATCCAATTATCTTAAGGTTTTTATCACAAAATGATGCTGTGTATTATCAAATGCTTTCTCTGCATTTATTGAGATAATCATATTGTTTTTGTTCCACAATTTGTTAATGTGCTTTTCACATTTATTAATTTGCTTATATTGAATCATCGCTGCATACTAGGAATAAATCTCAGTTTATCTGAATAATTGATCTTTCTTACGTATTGTTGAATTCTATCAGCTAGTATTTTGTTGAGTATTTTTAAATCTATGTTTGTTAGGGATATTGCTCTCTAATTGTCTTTCTTTGCTGTATCTTTTTCTGGTTTTGGAATTAAGGTGATACTGCCCTCATAAAAGAAAATGGAAAGATTTCCTCCTTTCAAATTGCTTTGAATAGTTTAAGAAGAATTGAATTTAGTTCTTTAAATGTCTGGTAGAATTCAGCAGTTTATCCTTCCAGTCCTGAGCTTTTCTTTGTTGGGAGTGTGTATTATTGATTCAGTCTCTGCTTTGGTTAGAAACTTATTTGGGTTTCTATGTCTCCATGACTCAATTTTGGTACATTGTATGTATCCAAGAATCTATTCATTTCTTCTAGACATTTCAGCTTATTGGCATATAGCTGTTTGTATTAATTCCTGTTGATATTTTTATTTCTGTAGTATCCATTGTTACATCTCTTTTTTATTTCCGATTTCATTTATTTGGATCTTCTCCCCCCAACCTTTTCTTGGTTGGTTGGGCCATTAGAGTATTAATTTTGTTTATGTTTTTTTAAAAAAACCAGCTCTTTATTTCACTGATATTTGTATTTTTTGTTTCAATTTTATTTCTTCTTTAATTTTAGTTATTTTTTTTCCTCCAACTACTTTTGCGTTTGATTTGTTATTGTTTTTCTAGGTCCTTGAGATGCTCATTTGTTTGGTACCTTTCCAATTTCTTGATGTAGGTGATAGTTGCTATAAAGTTCACTTTTAACACTGCTTTTGCTGTATCCCATAAATTTTGATATGTTCTATTGCTATCTACATCAGCTTCCAGGATTTTGTGTGTGTGACAGGCAAAGTGGACAGTGAGAGAGAGAGAGACAGGGAGAAAGGTCTTCCTTTACCATTGGTTCACCCTCCAATGGCCGCTGCGGCCGGCGTGCTGCGGCCAGTGCACCACGATAATCTGAAGCCAGGAACCAGGGCTTATCCTGGTC